TAGAACAAGCTCTAAGATAAAGATGATGACAGCAAACATCAGTTCCGACCAAATATTAACTTGAATAATTGCCCTCAATTCAGATGCAGGTGATTCTTGTTCGTGCCCATCAAATTAACATGCTCCAACAATACATCCCCTTTACTCAAGTTCGATGTCTTCATCAAACATGTTTTTCAAATCAGAGCTCATTAAAGCATATAAATACACCCATTTGTAAAGAGGTATGCTTCAGTGCACATGATTTGCTACTCTTCAAAATGGCCCCATTGTTTCGGTCTGTCTGTCTATGGATGTTCTGATTGGTATCTACTTATTTGCCTATTGTCAACAAATCATTTTTTGTCTTCTGCCCCATATTTGAAAGGAGAATATAAAAGAGTACTGCTCAATAATGGATGTTTGTCTTGATTTCTGGTAAGTCCCTTGAGAATTTTGAAATAATGGCAAATTCTTTTGAACTCTCAATTTGATCAATTTAAAACGCATTGAAAGTTTGATAGTAGTATCAAAACAATTAGAAGTCATAATAACATGTGCAGTGCAGTAATAGTATGATGAATAATCAGTATAGGTGAGATCTTTATGAAATACATCAAATTTATGGAACCAAAATGAAATAAATCAGGTTTATTGAAATAGAATAAATAAGCTTTATTGAAATGAAATAAAATAAATCAGCTTTATTGAAATGAAAAAAAATAAATCAGCTTTATTCAGCTGAAATGAAATAAATCAGGTTTATTCAACTGAAATGAAATAAATCAGGTTTATTGAAATGAAATTAAATAAATCAGGTTTATTGAAATAAAATGAAAAAAAAAATAAATCAGGTTTATTGAAATGAAATGAAATGAATCAATGATCTATATTCATCATTATTGCATTGGTACATATATACATATGTTAATCTGTCAAAAGTTGTAGCCTGTAGGATGAGCAATATTCTAGACAGACGGGCCAGTAGAAAGAATAATGAGATCTGAAAATATTAGATTAAGATGAACAAAGGTTAACTCAACCTTTGTTTATCCTTCTCTAAAATTGTGTCTCTTTCAACTCAATCAGTTTGGACCGGCATGGGAGTACAGCGACTCGGCAGTTTCATTCTCAAATAATTTAACATAATTATGACAATTATTGTGTCTCATTAAATCATTGTTGTATTCTTTGTAAATTACTCTTTCATTTTAAGGGATATAGCTGTCTAAATATTTACAAATAAAAATAAATGATAATTTACCAATATAATGATGATAGCTGTTCTAACTGTCAATGACTTTATTAATATGTATATTTATATACACAGGATGTGTTAGTTTAATTCTAAAAAAAACTACAGATAGATGAAAATGCATTCAACCAGCAAATATTTAGACAACTAGATCCCTTTAAACAGAATTAATTCCCACTTGTCAGTTGTTAATTAAATAGCTCTGTCACTGTCCACATCACTGTCAACCATCCTGATTCCTTCATGTCCATTTTACAAAAATATAAAAAAATTGATTTACCCCCACTGTACTATTTCAAATGGCAACTTACAATGATTACAACAAATTCCTTGAAATTCAATTATAAACCCTATATTCAATTTTGAAATATTAAGATTTCAAATAGATAGTTCGTGACTGGTGCTCTTTCTTTAAAGCTGGCAATGGATTGAGCAGTCTAATGTAAATTGTTGAAAGCCATCATGTGGTCATCCACTAGATCAAAGTCACTTTCATATCTATGAATTAGGTAAATGTATATAAAGTAAGTAAATGAATATCTGCATCTTTGCTACTTGACCAATGCAGAACTCCAGAAAGAAGCTTTTATGCTTTATTTATTAAGCTGTGTTGTATAATTTTAAAGAGAAACATTGACCAGCCTTTTTTCAGTGAAATAGTCATTAAAGTGATACTACGTCTTAGAATTAACATAAAATTTAAGAATTTTAAACATGACGAATAAGAGCCAGTAGATATACCTGGTGTTATAAATAACATAACAGGATCCTTATATAATTCGATAAATTCAAAAAACTTAGTACATGTTATTATCCATAAATATGCAATTAACTATTGAAAAACGCTTAATATCAAGATTAAGAGTTTGTCAGTAATTACTTATTTTTATGAATTTTCAAATTTTCCAGATTTTACATGGATTCTGTTGTAACTTTATGACACCAGCTAAGCTAACTGATGAATATAGACTAATATTGACCTTTTCGAGAAATTAAATTTTATGTTCATTCTAAGACGTAGTATCACTTTAAACTAATTATAGTCACATTGATTATTTCTAAGGTATAAGCTACAAATTTGAAATACTAAATGAGCATATTCCAGCTGGAATATCATTTTTCAAAATGAAATTAGACTGAAGAATTACAATTTTGAAAGTTAAAGTTAGTCACATGCAAACTTTGGGGCGAGTGGAACTGTGTGTTTAAGATGTTTCCCTAAATAGAATTTTAATAAGTATTTCAATAGAAATACAATAATATATTCCCTAAAAATATAGAATCAGAGTTCACATGAACATAGTACATACATGTTTATCTCTCAAATTACGTCACAAGGTAAACATAGTGTTATGGAAGAACCAAACCAAATTTGACCACAAAACTCTTCAATTTCTCTGCTATGGTGCTGTGATCTGCTAGCTTGTTGCTCAGTTGTTAATCATTTCAGATTATCTGGTCATCGTTTCGCCCTGACATCACATATATAATAAAACATCATGAGCTATTTACTGTGACATATGAACATATCTGTGGTAGAGTTCACCATCTGCAGCTGTCAGAATTTGTAGATACTTTAAATCTACATTGTGTAGTTGTTTCTAATCAAAATCTATTAACATACACTGTCAATTAACCAAAATTCACGAAGATATCATTTAACTCCAAGTCTTATCATTAGAATATGAATATAAAAAAGAGTTTCTATTGCAATAAGATGCCAGTGTACTCAAAGATGTTTGATTACAGAACATTCAGGTGGGTATGGATAACCAAGTTTCTAACATATGCTTAAAGACACAAAACTCATAAGACTTAAACAAAAATAGCTTACAGAGACAGGTTTGCCATCCCCTTGACAAATTGTACCTTGGTATCAGAAACAGGATTTTTTTTCAGCTAATCAGTAATAGTGTTTACAGCTCACCGTCGAAATTTGAGCCTTCAAATCCATATATTGTGTCCAGAATTATCCTAGTTTGAAAGTTAATAAGACTGGTCTTTTCTTGAAGCACAAGAAAAGACATAATATAGAAACAGAAAGTTAAATTCCTAGTTTGAGATACTTTTGAATGAATTATGCGATTTTGTACATTTCTAGTAGTTCTGAAGTCACATACATGTGGGCACAGAAACAAAATTTACAGACGCCACTTTTTCTTAAAATCGATATTCACATTTCATTTAAATCAATCCTATTTCTAGGCTAAATTTTGAAAAGTGAACAATAGAGCAATCTTTTACAACTTATAACAAAGATGACAAAGACATTAAACATCAAACACACACACACCATTCTTGAATATAACAATGAATTGGTAAAGGTTAGCTCTATTAAAGCTTTTATGGACTTTTTTTTTATCTGGTGTAGCAATCTAACTATAATGATTAGTGTGGATGTTGTTTATTGAGCCGCATGTTAGAGTATTTATCAAAACTAAACATAACATCTAATTTTTTCCGTTGTGTTTTCATTGTGAAATTGAGAAAAGGCTTCAACTTTATAAAATGTAAATCTGTAGTTTACTATTTGTAAGGAAAATGAGGTTGGTAAAGGTAATAAGGGTTGTTTATAAATGGTTCAATGATAATGTCTGAGTCCTTCTGAATATTGGAATAGGAAATATCAATATATCAGCCTCTGAATTCACCTGTAGTCACCCCACTATAATAATCTTCATGACCATTCTATAGTTAAGTTCACATTGATAGCGATACTAAACATATCAATATAAACTACCTTTAAGCAGGTTTAAATGCTTACACATTCTAAAAATTTGAGCCTATTGTCACGAAAGCATCAAGGATGGCAGCAGTATGCTATGAAGCATTCACAATTGTCCTACTAGGTATGTATGAAACTTGGATAAGGACTGTTATGGGGAATTTCTGACGATGTAATAATCAACAATGAGTCAGGGGTCCTGAAAAGGTGACACTATTTGCTTTTATATCTAGAATACAATTGTAGCAGAAGGCAGTTATTTCAGATCAAAAACCCCCAACCCAAATATCAATCCTGTCGTGTCTCAATACACCAGGAGTTCCAGGTTCTTTCAGGATACTGTGATCTCAATAGGAAGTATTAAATAATTAAACAAAAACACATTTATTAACTCAAGACAAGACATCACAGAACGAATTTCAAACAATACATTTACACAAGCGTTGAAAACCCTCAAATTTAGATCAGTCTATCTGAATGAGCAGAACGTTATGTTCCCGATTCAGATTTGAGAGGAAACCAAACCGACCCAAGGCAACCACAACTCCAAATCAAACAGCCAGATCGTCACTAAGGTAAGAGCCAACTCTATGAGCGGACATGCTTACCCTGAGCCGTCTACCGACCAACAGCCTGTAATAAGATACAATCGAGCTTTTTATAGAGTTTGCTCACGAAAATCCCGTGCAATGCTAAAGTCAACTCTCATTGGTCGAATCCACACTCGATTGATGAAATGCCATAACGTACAAAATAATCCGGAAACTCCAACTTCCGGTTCATATCAAATTACAGTACATTAAATATGCCACCTGCTACACAATTATTATATCATAAGACACATTTTTCATAACCAAAAAAGTAAGTTTGAAGGAAAAGAAGCCAATTTCAAGAGTTTCATTTCTGGTAATATTCTTCAATCTTGATTTTTTTTGTTATTTGTAACTATTTATGTGCATAAATAGCAGTTTTAGAATTGGTCATTTCAGACATACATACACTGACATCTACAGCAAAAATTTAGTACAATGTACAACTTACCTTGAAAGTATGTCTTGGTCCTCAGATAACTGACAGCAAGCCGTAATATGGACAATTTGTCTAATTTTGATATCACACTTTGTTCAAATGGTAAGAGACTAGCTAAATGATCTAATTCTGAATTAAGTCGTAATCGATGACGTTTGCTGGGATTACTCTTGGGAGGGTCTTTAGTTGGAGTTTTTACACTGAAAATATAAGATGAAAGATTTAATGATAATTCCATTTCCAATAATTGCTCTTCACCATATAGGGACATGTACCTTTTACCAACTGGTGACTTTGAATGTCAAGCAGTCTTCAGTTGTACAGAATTCAAAAGAAATTGATAGAAAGACAGTCTGACAATATACACTCTACAATTCATGGGTGTTTAAAAATGTAAATCTTATTCATTGATTATTGATGCATCTTCAGCACCTATATTCACCTGGATCAAAATCTTACAAAAAATATGGCTGGACATATTGGAGCTCTGACCAGTTTTGAGTAGCAAACAATACAGCAGAGCAAAAGCCCAGTGGGTATAAATTGTCACCATAAGGAGACTAACCAAATTTTCTAAGGTCTATTAACTAGGATACAAATTGACAACAGAATTACTCCCAAAATGAAAGTTGTTGTTCAACATCTTGTGCAGACATTGTCAAATAAAAATGAATATGGTGCAAATTGGCTTAGCATCTGTCAATATGACATCATCACTGTTGGAGACACTGTTATATTGGAGGTAATTTTTAGATAGAGATGATTAGATAGAGAGGGTTTATTTGAAGGGTAATTATATCCTGTTACTACCTAGAGGGAAACCATTACTAACTCCAGGATTCCTACAAATTGTACAATGCTAGCATATCCTTTGTTGCTCACTTGCTGCTATTTTCTGATTAAATTATAGTCCATATTGAAATTTGAAATTTCAGGTTCCTTAAAAAAACTCGGACTATTTTTTGCAGTTATATAACATGGCTTTATTTTTCTTAAAAGCTTTCTTTATTACAGGGATTGTAAAGAGGTTTTCTAAAAAAATCAAGGACACTTAAAGCATCAATTTGCACCATCCCAATTTTCAATTGGACGTCTGTGGTTCCTGCAATTCCACTAAAACTAAGTGTTTGATGATGTCACTTATCGCGAAGGGCTATATTTGATAAAGCATAATTTGTAATTATATATCAATATCTTATATTTTATGTCTAAATAGTAATCTAAACAAGTTTTCTTCTGTAGTACTGGTCTGATGAAGTAATTTTTAATTAATCAAAGCGTGTCATGTGTGACCAATTTCCCAATAAATGTCAGATAGCAAAATCCAAGGGCAATTCCTCATTGATATCAAGAAATGACAAACTTTTATTTGACAACGTTATTAGAACAAGACTGTAGTACAAAAATAGTTGGATTACTATGGAGACAAAAAAAAAATATTTAAAAAAAAAGAAACAAAATTATAATCTTAAATAGATAGGACAAAAGCAGAATTTGTGCAGCAAATTGTGTTCTATTGGGGTGAATATGATTCACAATTCAATGACTTGCTACTTACTAAGTTAAAATTCATTGATACCTTTGGTGGAGGCACGAACAGTCTTGGTCATCGATTTTTGTCTTATCTACATAACAGAGAGTCACCATCCAATCAGATTTGTTCTTTTCAAGTTCATGATTAGCACCTGATTATCAACATAGAGGAAAACAACCAACTGGACATTTTTTGTCTCTTTGTGTGCTCGCAGCCAGTCCAAGAAACTCACGACAAGACACTAGATGGTGAAAAAAATCGCCGACCAAGATGGCGCCATCATGTGCTTACACCATTAGATAAAAGTAAAACACTTGTTGTACGTTTTGATTCAAAGGTTCTGTCTTTTAATGCATCTAGTAAAACCTATAGATAAATATCTTAAACTTTGGTGGCAAATGGTCTAAAAAGAAATCCTATTTTAAAAAGAAGTTAGATTACAGATGTATTGCTTTCCTTAAAAATTGTTCCAAAGTTATTTCAAATGCGGTACAAATAAGGAATATTACATTTTTCCTAAAAAATAATTGGTGTTTTTATAGGTTTTGTTACAATTATTCAAGAGGTGGTACAAGGGAGTGTCATAGTGTGGGGAGGGATCTGTGGGCAGGAGAGGACTCCTGGCTATCGTTAATGGCAACTTGACAACATCGATGATATTCTCTGTTCGACAGCCTTACCATTTTTTTTAACAACAGCAGCCACATGATGTCATTTATCTGCATGAAAACACTAGACCCTCACACAGGCATAATCATAACCAAATTCCTTGGAATCAACAATATGGCCTGCATGTTTCTCCGACATGTCCTAGGGCGTCATGGATCATTGTGCATAGGAGTGTATTCACCTGTATTGAAGCTCTGGGTATTCACAATTACTGCTTATCTGAATGATATTTTGTTTTTTTGCATTTTAAAGATGACAGCCGAGTTTTTGTACACTTAGGCCATATATTTTTGTCATTTGTTGTGCTGGTTTTATTGACTTGTCAATCATTTATATTGTGTTGTTGTTTTTTTTATCTAGGATGTTTTTAAAACTTGGTAAAGCTTCTTTTGGTCTTCAGTTTATATCTACCTATATTTTTTCAACAGAATTATTTTCAGTTCAAATTGTCTTTATTTACCCATTAAAACAATGATAAAGTTTTTTGTATTTTTTGAATATCAAATATGATTCTTTTATATTCCTTTATTTTACTTTGATGAATAATGGTCTTTCTTATTCAAATTATTATTTTTTAAGCTGTGTATAAACACCAGTACAACAAATAACAATAAAAGAAATAATTGTAATATAGAAAGGCAGGCTGTAGTTTATAAAGTTATATATGAATAATATGTTATACTGTTAACAAAATATCAAACCCTTGTACAAGTCAGCCTGAAGATGTAAATATGTGATATCAGCACTCACTATTAAACCTACCCTTAAAGTATGGGTCACTGTATTTTCATAGAGTTTTCATTAATTAATGAATCAAACGATAAGCCTGTTTTGATCTAGAACAAAGAAGCTACTGATTGTTAACTGTTAACATGACATTCTCAATGGATGGATTTAGTTTTTTGAATTACTGTATTGCCATTTTGGTTATTAATTCATAATTTTCAAAATATTTTTAAATGATTTGAGATGATCGAAAATCTTAAATTGTGTACACGTTGCACAAGTTATTGGTCATAATACAACAGGTACATTTTCCACCTGGAATGAGAGAAAAAGGCATTACGACCCCGATGGTATCTTTAAAAAAAATGTTACTTTGCCTTACTTTGTTTTAGCACTTCTATTATTGTGGCATTTTTATCAAGTGTTCTGATCTCTAGTTGTATGTTTAGATTGTGAAGGTAGCTAGATTGAAGAATTGAATAGATCATAAATCAATATAGTTGGTATCAATTATCATTGATTCTTTAGTTCTAATTACACATACTCTCATTTTGAAAGCTATTATTTCATGGTACTACAAATTCAACCTACAGTGTAATGTGAGGTAATGCATTGCTTTTTGTGAGAGTGCAACAATCATAAGAATGATTATCCAGTGAGTTCACCAAGTGGTCAATTCTTGACATAGACATCTTTACTCAGTCTGATAGAATAGTTATGTGCCATGCAGCCCCGTCATTAGGGTGGCATCCGTGGCAGCTGGGCCCCAACAAGGGAAAATTAAGCCCCAGCAAAACCTTCTTCAGATCAGTAGAGATTGATTCATATACAGTGTCTTTGAACAAAATCAAAACGATGTGTAGATTTAGATATGTTTTTGGCATCACAAAATTGTCAGAAATGAGTTCTCACGGCCTTCAATTCTTCAAATTTTTTTAGTACAAAATCTGAGCCCCAGCAACCATTCATTCCTGGCGATGGGGATGGTGTCATGACATGAGATGATTGAGAACATAATTTAAACATATTTTTTTATTCTCAAAACTGATGCTTAATAATTAGCAATATATATAAACTATTATTCCCTGTACAAACAGACAACACTTAATTTCAGCTATCTGTTGTACTTTCCTTCTTTAAAATTGCAGACCTAGTCATACAAATATACAAAGTACACAAATGATGAATATTAAACTTTTGTTATTTGTTTCTTTTGCTGTTGGTATATGATGTCAAGTTTCATCATTTATTACATGTGCCCATAATTGGCCTGTAAAAACTGAAATTACAGGTGTTCCTGCTCACCTTGTTTGCTTTATTTGACCCTTTTTCGAAATTATAAACATATATTATATTTTTCATGAAAAAAAGTACTTTGTCAAAATTTATCCTGTTTTTGAACACAATTTGACATTAAAAATACATGCATAAAATACCTTTCAAGAAGTAATGGAATAGTCTATACTTCCAAAGTACATTTTGGTTTGAATGTAAGAGAACTGGATTTGGATTGTGGAAAGTGATACAGATAGGTGGTAGAGCAAATATGTAGGCAACTTTTATCATTAAAGAAAGTCAGTGAGAAACAACAGCAATACATTTCATTCATTCATTCAACAAGCCAAGATATACAATGAAAATACGATTAATAACCTGATTAAAGTTTACATCAAGATTGAACACCAACAAATTCAAAATGGCTACCAATCAAATTTAATCTTGATGAATATTAGAAAATAACATGGTTTCACAGAACTTTAAATAAGATCTAATAATTCCCATCCCTAAGGATGAAGGGCAGTTTGTGAAGTCTTTCCAGTAATGGAAGATTAATTGCTAAGCAGGTAATCCACCACTTAAAACTGCTATAAAACAGCAGGCAGACATATCACATGACAGATGTACTGAAGCTGATACAAACCTAGACTCCTCCCCATCATTACTTTTTTTGGTGTGCACCCAGGTGACACCGAGATAGATACACCAATGAACTACTCAATTTTCTCTCTACCATTGAATGTAATTCTTTGATATGTTATTAAATTCAATGGCAGAATAGATGACTGAAAATAAGGTGGGAGTTTTCTAAGGTAGTCAATAGGGTGAACAAAGAATTAGAAGATTTAAAGAAGTAGAAATAAGTAATATTCCATTTACCCTATAGCACATTGTTTAACATTCAAAACTATACTCTACTATTAATAGAATAACTAGTAGTGCTAAATCCAATATAAAACATACTCTCTCAGAGACAGATTCACATAAAATCTAAGTAATAAAATGTTCTTGAACATCATATTTCAGCATAT